CCACGGACCCCCAAGGGGTCTGTGGATAGATTTCAGGGGGTCCGTGAACTTGGATGGAAAAAAAATTTCCATCTTTATTTTCACTAACCTCTAACTGAAATTTAGCATTTCCTTCAATTATGAATGTAGGCAACAAACCACAGTAGTATTAGCAGTACCTGTGACTTTGTCACCAATAGAAATCACAGATATTTTCATATCACATTACAGTTGTTGCAGATATCTCGAAATATCGTTTACGCTCATCACTACTTCGAAATTAAGGTAGTTATTAGACCTTCCGCTAGATCGCATGTGATCGCAGTCTTCCTGTCTACAGATGCTCATTATTCTGAGAAGGGGTCCGTAGTCTTCACCTGACTGCCAAAGGGGTCCATGGCACAAAAAAGGTTAAGAACCCCTGGTCTAGATGATCGGTATCCCAGAAAGATTGTCTAGATGATCAGTATCCCAGAAAGATGGCCTTTCTCCACTCTCCAGTTCAGCAAGGTGCACTGGTGGCTATCATTGGAAGAACTGCTGTTTGCCTTGCCTCCAGCACCCGCTGCCATTCATTGGTCAAATGCAAGATGGCTTTTGCTACCCCACTAGTAGAAGGTGAAAGTATTTCCAACTTCCTAACTTCCATGGAAGTAGCACATTTAAGAGGAGGCTCTCCTATGATGGTGAAGACATGTATTTGCCCATGATTAAGACTACTCCATAATTTACAGTGGAACATTTACTCAATCTGGCATCTTCCACTGAGGGAACAAAATCTGGGTTGAGAGAGGATCTAGTTTAGTGAAGTCTGTTGTATACTTTGGTCATGAGTTTGACTTAGTGACCATTGTTAGTGTATCAGTGCCATTACAATGTCCCACAGACTTTGAGAAAATGCCAGCCAATGGGAGCTGTGGCATGCTGAGCCCTCATGTCCTAAAGTAATCATTTCAATTTATACATTGTTGGATGTCAGTTAGTGGTATCATCCTGGACCAGGTGCTGCTGGTGAAGGCTGGTCTCTATTCGATAAGCAAAAACCATTGATCATGTAAGAACTGTGCATGAACATCAGAGCTGTTCCATCAGTGTCCTGTTCAATGTAAAGGATGCATTGAGAGAATGCCTATATCACTGTCTCACCTTTTACCACTACAAAGAAGCAAACCCTGCACTTCTATGCATGCAGCCCATGCTGAAAAAAATGCAGAGCACTAGCCACTAGAACCATGCTGAGTGTGCTCTCGGGAGCTCAAGATGGAGATTTTCAGTGTCCTCCTTGGAGGTAAGGGGGGCTATGGGGACAGAGGAGGCCTTAGTGGTCCTGGACATGCCCTGAAACTGCACCCTGCCAGGATAGGGAGGCCTGATGGGACTGCCAGTGGCGTGGCATCCCCACTTAAATAGCAAGACTGTGAACCTCCCCGGCGTAAGGCAGGTCAGGGTGCATAAACCCCAGCCCCCACCTTTGGGTGGGTTACTAAGAGGGAGGAGTGGGGCTAGGCATGGCTGTGGCCACTTGAGCCCGCAGGGGTGCAAGACTCGGAGGTCCTGGGGAAGGGATAGCTGTGTGACCCCAGGGAGGGGGCAGTTGAGAGACCCTGAGAAAGTGGGGCTGTCGGTGGGCTTGCCCAGAGTAGGGGGCATCTTCACGACCTGAAGGACTGGGCATAATTCAGGGATGAGTAGGACTGAAGGCTGGTCTGAAGAGCATCCCCAGGGGGTGCATTGAGTAGGGCTGGACAGTCAGAAGGGCGCCATATGGGCCAGCCCCCCACAGGATCATAGTGTTGTGTATAAGGAACCTGATGAGAGGCCAGGGCAAAGTAAGCTCTCTGTTCGGTGAATTGGCTGGAAGTACTGAAGTGAGGGTTGCAGGAGAGGCCCAAGAGACTGCACGTCACCAGCCAAGACATGATTTGGATAAGCCTGATGGGTAGAAGGGTCGCTCCAGGAGAGAGCAGGGCAGATTGGAAGGGGCACAGTATAGTGCGGCGAGTACCTGTGAGAGGGGGTGGAGTGCAAGAGGACCCTGTGAGAGGGGGGCAGTATGAGTGTATGTGTGTGTGTGAGACCTGACAGAAGGCTAGATTTGGTCTGGCTTGTGGCTGGGAGTATGATAACATCTTGGATGCCACCTACAAGACATGGACCACAGTGTAGGGAAGCTACGGAGCTGTGGATAGCACCCCCTGGCATCAGGGCATAGAATGGGCAGCCTCCTGCATTTACCACCAGCTTATTGTAATAGCGAAGTCATGGCATACAAGACTGGGCAGACTGCCCTACGTAGACAGGTTGGTGGGCTGACTTGAGACTTGGCCCCAAGCTTGCCCCTTCTCACAGTCACAATGAAATCTTATAACAGATTGCAGTCACTAAAGCAAGTAGTCAAAGTATTTCACCAGAGAAAAATAGCAGGAACCTTCAAGAGACAATCTGTAATCAATTTTAGAATCATCTTTGAGGTTCAGAATGATTAGGATCTGAAGACCTTTCACACCCATCAGTCTGAGCAATAGTTTGTTGCGATTGTGCAGATGGGTTCTATGATTTAGAAGAATGGGTAAGGATCATTACTGAGAAGCAGTGATCTTGCATTTGGCAACTTGTAGATAATGCAGGATTGCCTACTCAGATGTTCAGAGTACAGTTTCTGGCCATTTTGTGTATTAAGTTGGCATGTGATTAATTTTCTAATATGGTTTAGAAGTCTGGAAGCTGATAGATGAGTCTCAGTTTTATTCTGCGTAAGTTTAGATGTAAAATACCCTGTCTGCCTATATGTCTCCATTGAGGTGCTTTAAAAATTCCTGGAATTTAAGATTTCTTTTTTAGGCTGTGTCTGATCCAAAAATAAAGATGCACACCCAGGTCCTGTGTTTAGACGACTGAGAAAATTCTCTGTGGGTGAACCTGTGGTTCTTCCACAGTCTGGCTATGTGCTGGGTTTGAAGTTGTTAAATAAATGATGTTTATTGTGGAAAGGGATGTGGGCAAGTCCTCCCTCACTATAGGAATTAGACAGAATTTTCTCTCTCTACCTTACATGGACACTGCTGGGGCTGAAGGAGTTGCCTCACCAGCATTTGTTTTGCCCTTTTGTGTACATACAGAATGTGGCTTGGCAGGCGAGAAGCTAAGAAAATGAAAGGCTATTAACTGCAAACCACTGCACTGATTTAACTTAATAAAAAATGAAGATTTAGTATAGCAGCCAGATGCTCACAGGTCAGGAGAGAGAAGCCATCGGTGAGAAATCTGCTGAAGGCGAACCTGCTTATGATCTTCTCAGATTAGCACGAGGTTGATAGGCAGCCAGGTATCAAGGAGGTTAGGAAGGCAGGGATGAAAGCAGCTGTTCCTAGTGGCTTCCTCCAGATCTTTTTCCTAGATTTTAAGAAACCTTATACTGGATTATTTTCATTCTAGACTATTTTAAATAATTTAAAATCACATAATGCCACAATAGTACAGGATGCAGTGTCATTATGGATGTTATATAATGTGGCATATTGGATTGGTAAAATTATCTATTTTTTTAAGATCTCCCATATTTTTGCCCATCTCCCTGGAGAACATTTGTCCAAACTTCCTTGGTCACTTTCTTTGAGAAAGCAGACAGGACTCCAGAAAAACCTGCAGCCAAGACTCCTGAGAAGACTTGAGCCAAGAACCCTTCAAAAAGTCCAAGAAAGTCACCTCAAAGAAGTCCTTCCAAATCAATATGATTGCTATTTACAATATAAATACATTAATGTAGCTATATTACTCATCTATAATTAATCGAGTACAAAATTCTGGGTTACTTTTGGTGAAAATAGAGTATTGGGCATTGGTTCAGGAACTAATCCCCCATTTATAACATTGTTTCTTATGAGAAAATTGGTTCTGAGTTACAACGTTTCGACTTAAGTCCCGGTTTTCAGGAATGAATTGTGTCCTAACTCCAAGGACTGTTAGAGTTCTGACATTTTAATAATTTTCCTAAGTCAGTTTTTAAAGTTTTTGCTTTTTATCTCCCCGCCTTCCCTGTGATATTCACTTAAACTCATAGGATTTCATGGAAAAATGGCCGAATCAAATGATGGTTTTCCAAAGAGAAGTTGTTCCAACTCAAATTGTCCAGGCAAGGCCGACGCAACGCAGGCGCATTCAGTGATGCCCGAGATGAGCAGTGCTGGGTGGGGAAAGGACAGCGGTGACGGTGCTGCTCTTTGCCTCCAGCTGGGGTGGGTAACAGATCCCCCGCAGAGCAGGACAGGGGCAGCTGAGGGGCCGTCTGAGAGGGGCTGTCACAGACGGAGGCTGTTTAGGGCCCAGGGAGGGGCATGGTGCTGAAGGCAGGTGGGAAGCATGAACTGGAGCCCACGGTCACCAGGGCTGGCTCCTTGCGCCCGCCCTTGAGACCAGCGCGGGCCCCGAAGCACTGCGAGGGGCAGAGGGTTTTGACACTGGAGCGATGCCTCAAGGGAGAGGGATTTGAACATCGGACCACTCCTTGTTGACCAACGCCGTGCTGGGCTCCAGCATGACTATTGACTTCACCACCGCTGAGGCTGGCAGAACCGAGGGCAGAAGCAGGGGCAGGACGCGGGGCAGAGCCTGAAGCGGCCCCTGAGGGCCAAATAAAAGCAGCCCCAAAGGGGGAGAGCAGGAGCTTCTCCACATATGCTTTTATTATTTTAAACATATTTCGTGTCCCGAGGTGAACCAGCCAGCGCTGAGCCGAAAGGGGTGGCACAGAGGAAGCCTGACAAGCTCCCGTGCCCCAGCCAGGGCCTGACTGTCACACGGCGGAGGGGGCGGGGCTAAGAATGCGGGGGGTGGTAGGCGAAGGGAGCGAGGCTAGCGGGGGCGGGGCCCGTCCGAGAGCGGCGCGGCGCCGCTACGCGGGCGGAGGGGGCGTGGCCAGGCAAGGCGCG